CCACCCATGTCAAGGGCAAGGAAGGTGCCGGTCTCGTACCCATCTGGGAAAGCCATACACCAGGTCGGGTTCATTGGCTTAAAGGGTCAGGTCAGGTCAGGTCACTTCCAGAATTGGAACCTAGGCAACTCACAATGGTTCCACCTTCGACTGACAGACCTGTAATGAGTTAGTATATGAAGTTCCGGGTCGAGCCTGGAGGTGTTTACCTCTTGTCAGCTCCGACTGGAAATGAGTGGTGATCTCCTTGAGTTTCTGCGTCGGGACAGAGAACAACTCCTCCAGCCGATTGATCTGATCCATTAGATCCTTTGGCACGTCGGCAAAAGAGCCTAGTATAGAAGTTATTTGACCCCATATTCTAATCTATGTAGGTATTGGATGCGTCATACCTTTTCGTGAAGGTGGTTTACGTGCGACCATATTGGCGGTTACTCTGTCGGTCGTCTGCGTAGGGGAGGCCGAATGATCTAAGGAAGTAGCAACGAGTCCTGAAGTGTTCGAAGAAGTTGCGAGCGTGGATATCAGGCGGTGAGCGCTGATCTAAACTTATGGTTCGTTAGTGGGTGGGATGTACCGTAGCCGAAGGTGGGATGATAGAGGGAAAAAGGATGCCAATGGTCATGCGCCAGATGCGATTTTGTTTCCAATTGCTTACCAAAGGTTTCTCTGGAAATTAGATATTTGCTTTTGAGTTGAAAACGGGAGCATGTGTCGTGGAGGGCTTACCAAGATGTATAACAGTGCTTAGTAGCTAGTCTAGACTTTCTTCCCCGCCAACGAACATAGAAGGGCCGATTATTGGACACGTAGAGTACTGTATCGAACTGAGGTTGGAATAGAATGAAAGATGAGACACAACACAGGAGAATTACAGGATTTAAAAGGTTACACAAAAGTATGAAAGAACCTCGGCGGAAATTTTCATGATGCGGTTCCAAAAGTCCCATCAGCAGCATAGCACCTATCTCCGAGAGGCAATAATCCACAACCCCTCCACCGATGACGACTGTACAAAAATCCGCGCACAGTTCATATTCAGATCATTGCGTCTTCTATGCGCCGTGGAGAAGCGTCTGACGGTGCAACCTATTTCAGCCTCCACTCACCGTCATCCAGAGGACTCAGGCCCCAATATCACGTATATATATCCTGCGCACGAGTTCAACAGGCCCGAATACAGCGAAATTTCTTTGCATATCCCTTGCCTGACTCCTTTCTCTCTCCTTGTTCGATGGGTTATTCGTATAAGCCGAATAAAAACTTATTCAACCTCACGGTTCCAGCCTTAGTTCCAACTCATTTCACCCAAGAGACACGAGGTTCTTAGTGTCTTACTCTAAATTGCATCACACGAGCCTATAAAACACTCCCGACTAGGATGAGAATCCGCCAACGATGGTCAAATCCATTTCGGCTCCCCACACGGACTTGAATCCGCCATGAATCCGCCATGTATCCGCCATGAATCTACCATGAATCCGTCATGAATCTGTTAGTGACGGGCCGTAAGTCCATTACCAACGAGGTGCATGATGAGGTGGTAGCAAGAGGAATCATTTTCATTTAAGCACTTCGGCTTCCCATCTTCATCTCTCTTCCATTGAACCCCCCTTTTCAGTTCATCTTCAAATCGATTCCACTAATCGTTCAACATGGCGGCCCCTGGCAACAAGTATTTCATTCAGGACAATATCAAGAAGACTGCCCCTCATCATGAATCGTACAGGCAGCTGTGGGAGACGAAGTGGAAAATGCCCGTATGAGACCTTATTGCTTTGTCTCTGTCCCATCAATAACTGACATGGCCTTATAGGCCCAAATGGGTGTCTACCCCTTCATGTTTAGTACTGCCAAAGACTTCGAACCGATTGTAGAAAAGATGGTCCAGGTAGGTTGAATTTCTGGTATTGATCCGAGCTTACAGTCCTGCAGCAAAATTTCAAAGAACCATATGAGTGGGACGAATATGCATCAGTGTACTTCCCACAAGCCGAACATCTCGCCCAAATTGCAGTTGCCGCGGAGAAGGCTGGCGAGGTGGAGAAGTCATCTGAATATTACTTGTAATTCAACATCCAGCTCCACTCAGTGGGAAGCTGACAACAGCATAGACGCTCATCGGCAGTATACCGTATATCCCGCTTTCCAGCTCCACGATCCGAGCAACAATGCTACGCATGGTCAAAGGGTAAAGAAATGTGCCTCAAAGGTCTTAGGTATGTCTCTCATTCCCCTTCGCACTATCGTTGAATAAAGCCTTATCACCATACAGTCTACGCCCCAACCCAATTTCGGAAGTCCAAATCCCGCATACTCATCGTCTTGACTCTGAAGGTACACATATCCCGGTGTACCATCTCCTCCCGTCGTCTGCCTCAAAGATGTCCCCGGTCCCTTGTGTCATCATCTTCACTGGACTGGATGGATACCGGACTGAACTTGCCGTATGGATGGAGGGTTGGCGGCAACAGGGCGTCGCCACGATTGTTCTAGAAATTCCGGGGACAGGTGACTGTCCCGCTGCCCCCAATGATCCCTTATCTCCAGACCGCCTCTACAGTTCGTTATTCGATTGGGTCGACCAGCAGGACGGTATTGACAAAGCTAAAGTATGCATATGGGCATTCAGCACAGGAGGCTACTATGCCATTCGAGTGGCGCACACACATCCTGACAGGCTTGCGGGTGTGGTCGCGCTCGGAGGCGGATGCCATCATATGTTTGATCCTGAGTGGTTGAGTGAGGTGAACCATCTCGAGTATCCCTTCGACTTGGCCAACACGTTGGCCTACAAGTTCGGTTATGGCAACGATGTTGAAAGGTTCAAGAAAGAAGCTAGTGACAGGTTCTCCTTGCTGAAAGATGGCACTTTAGATAAACCACGATGTACGAGGCTGCTGCTAGTCAACGTAAGTGCTTACTTAGGGTCTCCCCCCTTTGAGCCGTGATATCGCTAACTTGACTTTAAGGGTACCCAAGATGAAATTTTCCCCATCGATGACTATTATCTCGCTCTCCAACACGGCGCACCAAAAGAAGCTCGCTTTGTTCCAGACACCAAGCACATGGGTGAGCCCATGAGCTTCTTCATCATCTTGAACTGGATTTATCGGTTGTTCAGTATCGAAGCCGACCCGGTGGAGCAAATGCAGACATTGTCGTTCAAGCCAAAGTATTAAAGGAAAAAAAAGGTCTGTACTAGGGTGCAATGTAGCTGTAGGAATTTGCTTTCCTGATACTTTACGATCTTGACAGTTGAAGGTGGAATGGGGTATCTAGTTCGAGAGACTTTGACAGTTGTTTCATAGCACTTGCGGATTCAAGCTTTAGTGATTGCAGCCAGACCTGCTAACCACACTAAAGCACGTTCGCATACCTTATCCCTTAAAAACAAACTATGAGGCATGGAATTTTTGGGAGAGGGAGGAAATAACCTGCTTTTCCAATTGACACAAAGAACTCATTCGGTGTCTCTCCGGGTACTATATATGTTCCCAGGTTCTTCAACGTTCCTCCCAAAACGGTACATATGGTGTTGAAATCCGATCTTACCGTTGACATTTCGTTGTTTAGCAGTGCTTGAACTTATGGTAAAGACCATAGGTAGGAGATTACTGGCTTGCTCTCTGATCAACCACGTCTCTTTTCGCAGTGTTCAATAGAGTCGGTCCCCTTTCCTCCTGCTTTGCCTCCAAGGAATGTCGATTCCCTTTATTTTCACAGTTCCGATTGAAATCCACGAGTACAGCGACCACTCTCCCGGTATGAGGCTGTTTGAGTGTCTGCGCTGGGTGAGCTTGTTGCGGTTTCATGCTTCACCAACGGGGTCACACAGGTCTAAATAAACTTGAGTTGTACCACCTAGGCGACAACCTTACATCTCAACGCCAGAGAATCAAAAGAGTCTGGAAGACGTTTTGCCTCTGTGCATATGGTAAAGAAGAGTCTCTGCATGATGGGGGCTAATCAAATGATGTATGTGACACTGGCCCCCATTGTCCCTCAAAGCTGCCAGCAGTGCATGGAGTGGTCAAGGCTGTTGAAGACGGTACTATCTCCTTCCTAACGAAGATCGGATGAAGTGTTCGAATATAAGGTCTCTACCCCTCAACAAAACCCGCGGGATCCGTCATTTACCATCTCAAGGAACCAGCCCAATTTCTCTACGCAGTCAAGTACTATTGGGCTGGCATTAGTCTCTCCTTTACACTCGATGGGAAGTGCTTTATCAGGCTACGAGATAACTCGGCGACACTCGAGAAAAAAGTCATATTGCCGTTCCCTAACGATGTTGAAGGGCGGCCGGCTATGATCAGCCACAACACTATATTGCCGCCTGAATACAACGCCTAGGAGGATACAGCTAGAAGCACCCGAGAGATCGTATTGTCATCACGCCTTAATGCTGAATGACCATTTTGAGAGCTCAATATACGTAAAAGACACTGGGGATAGGATCGCCGGTATGATGGTGAGCGTTGTCGAAGTGATGGCAGTCAGTTTGACGTAATATGGCTGGTGGCAGCTGGGCGGCGAGGTGCCACGAGCCCCTTTGAGAAAAGCGAAAGCCTTTGGTACGCCCATGTTGAGAGAAACGGAACAGCAATATCGGGGATAGACAATGGCCGAAGCAGTTTGGGGAAGGCGAGGTGGTGTTCGGTGAGGATGAGCGGGGCGGACTTCTAGGGGGAAAAGAGCAGGACATTCGAAGGACAAAAGCTGGAAGATGATACTAGGATTTTTTATAACTCTTTTAATCAAGAATTTTTGAGATATACAGTACATACGACCATAGGTAGGAGAATACAGGGCTTCCCGTCCGATCAGCCGTACTTAAGCTCCTAACCGGCTGGCTAGTATTGCGGTGGGTGACCACGTGAGAATCCCAGCTGTTGTATGTTTTTGCTTTTTACTTTTATCATTATTATCTTTGTGAGTTGGTTTTATTTAGTAAATAAATCTTATTGGTAGAAATTAAGAACATGTAATGCATTATAGGCAAGATGGCCGAGTGGTCTAAGGCGCTACGTTTAGGTCAACTACTACCGTAGTCCGAAAGGGCGTGGGTTCAAATCCCACTCTTGTCAATGAATATTTTTTGCATTTGCTGGAACGGGGATGGGATGTCAGGGCGGAGGATGTTAAATGTTAATTTTTTCTTTGCTGAGTTTTTTGTCGGCCTCTGGAAGTGCGAACTAAATTGTGCTAAGGAATACTCGAGAACTCTTCTCACTCTTTGTAATTACTTTATAAGCAGTTAAAAGAATAATTTATGAAAACATACAATTGCAAACCCCTAACATTTTACATGGATTTTGATAATCCTCATGAATTTCTCTTCTCGTATTAGAACGTGTGTAGTGGTCCAATACACAGTTTGTTAATTATCAAGCGAAAATTAATATGAAGCCAGTCTCATATCTGGGCATACCTTACGCATAGTATCCTATGCTTAATTTCTGTTTAGATATAGATTTAGGGTTTGGAATGGTATAAGGTGAGAAAAGGGCAAAGGGTTTAAATTCGAAAGCGACAATCCTCTAGTCACAGCTGCTACTTAAAAGCAAAGTTTCTTTGAAGCTTTGAAACTCTCTGCTATAAGGTTATTAGCTATAGAAATTCATTAGCGAAGATATATAAGTAGGTATCAGCAAAATCATAGTGGGTAAGGTGAGAGATCTCCTTGGATTTATATAATAACAAAAATTCAATTTAGCGTGCTACCTGGTTCCCAATTGGCTCCATGAACGCGTAGAATCAACGTTTAGAGCAAAGTAAACCGGACTCTAGGAGAATGACCCTCTGGAGTCCAAAAATCTTCGCCTTTTTTTCCTCGCCTTAAGCCATTCTAACATAGCTGTGGTGAGTTGTTGGATTTATATATATGTAAAAAAAAAATTGGATACTCGCATAGATGGTTCGATAACTGTTTCCACGTGAAGTCGTACATACCTTTCCGTTCCCAGTCTCAAAACAATCTGTCAATGTAGCCGTGATTATAATAGCACAGATGAAGGTTCCCGATCAGGAGTGGTGAAATTGAAGGGGTCTAAAAGAGCTCGCACGTCTGAAAGGCCAAGCAAGCAGTCAGCGGAATGCGAGAACATACAGGCCCTCGGAAGCGTAGGAACTATGATATTGTGTAACTGTACGCCTCACCTCGAGAGTGCTCTAGAGGTGTATAACGTCATAGGAAAATAAGGTGCATGTCACCGGAACCACCCGGTTAAAAAGAAAAGAATTGGGATTTGGACCATGGGTACGAAATCCATAATCAATCGAATTCAATGAGAAGTCACCAAAGGCAAATCGAAAACATCATAAGCAGCCTAATATGAATGAAGTGCCTGGAAAGGAGAAGATATACGGAGATTTGCGTTCCAAGTAGAACTAGGCCCCTGCGATGAGCACATTCCAAAGGAGTAGTTAATCAAGCTAAGTGCAATAAAATCGAGACGTAAAGGTATGAACGGGATTCGTAATATCTCCAAAATAGAACGACAAGTGGTAAGTTGTCTTGAAGGGAATCTAATGTTGTCTGAGTTAATCATAGCAGTTCGCCGTCCACGCACCCTCTCAGGGCTCTACACGAGTGATCATACTTGCCATATGCTTGCTGTACATCCGACCTCGGAACTCTTGTCATCTATAGGAGGCAAAGATTGAGACCTTCAGAGAGATGCGTGAGAGAGACCGGACGGGTTGGGTCAAAGAGGTTGCTGCTGAGGGGTAAAAATGGTGCTAGGGAGACGTGAAGGAAGAAATGCGAGGCGACTGCGAGTAGTGGTGGTACACAGTTTTGCCTTCCCTCAATATGTGCTCCTCCCTCTTCCCTTCGCCTTCGTCTGACTTGGCTTCATGCGTCCATTGCTCGCTCTTCCTTCCGTGCGGACCATACAATACACTTCGGTGCCTGAATCCCATTGTTGGGTGGATGGCATCGAGTTTTCGAATAAATATGTTCTAGGTGTAGTAAAAAGTTGATAGCGGCACCAGTGCTGCACGTTACCAAAGCGGCACCCATAGATGTATACGGTTCGGGCTTGAGGTCTATTGTCAGGGCAGTACGCAGGCATGAAGAATTGAAGGATTGAATTGAAGTGTATTGAAAGGTCTGGGGCCAGAGCCCAATATATACAAAAGAAAGCTGACAGGTAAAGACAACTTCAACTAGACTAGGAAGGAAAAGCAGAGTATCGTAAACAAGCAGTGACAAGAATGAGTGAGTTTCGACTGCGAAAGTGCAAGAGCGACCCTAAACCGTAACATCTATCCACACTATGTACCGTAGATGAAGCGCCCTAGAATCCGAGTCTTCTTCCTTCCTCTCCTCCTAGGTATTCAACTTCAATTGTGAGCCCAGCCGATCATATTCACAATATATACACTCTTTTTAAAACATCGTCTTATATCGAGACTGAGAAACCGTGACTCTGAAGTGAAGGCTATCCAGGCCTTGAGATACCACAAATCCATCTGTCTCTTCTACGTACTGTTTACATATCCTTCTCCTTGCGAGCAAATCTGAAAATAATTCGGACTACCAAGGTCGAACATTCAGCTCATTCGCCGTTAGCACAGGGACCAATGAAAACATATCCCACTTGCATTCAACGGATCCAGGCTACGGCTCCGGACCCCGAGCTCTATGGTGTAGATATCGTAAATCAGGCAATGCGTTTTCGAAAGAAAGGCACATTTGAAACTCGCTTCCGCGCCCCTGGCTGGCTTCCAATCACTTAAAGAGTGTGGAACACTTATACATCTTAGGCTGGTTCCAGCTGGATTTTCACCTTCGTGGCTTCAAGAAGGAAATCTTGCCCCATGTTGTCGTAGTGAATATGAGGTGTCCATTTTAATCAGGAGCCCACCTGCATAATATGGTCGAAATATGTACAAACCATGCCTAGATACTGTCAAGCCCTCCGACTTTTTTCAGCTAACAGATTGTCAAAGACACACACGAACAAGGAACGGATCCCATTAGCAATGATCTTAAATAAGCCGAGTCCTTGGCCCTAATATGTTTACTGAGCCGATATTTCCAAAGTCGGACGGCTCATAGCATCTTCTAGGCCCCAGATAGAGCGCATTTTATTGATGCTACCAATGTACAACAGTTGATTGGGCATCGCAGGCAGAATACAAGAAAACTGGACGAGGTTTCCAATTTTTCGAACATGTACCTAGCGGTTATCATTGTTATGATTCAGAAGCCGAAGTTTTTCGCTGACTACGAAGCAGATAGACCCTTCATGGACGTGGACCGCCGAAGATAAAGGCAGGATTGCGTTCAAATCTCTCCCTCTACGCCATTTCCAATCCAGTATCTTACCGTGGTTCGGTTCCTATTCCCTGGGCCTATACCGGCGTGCGTGGCGTCATATCGTTCGGAGAGCGATTACACGCTTTTCCATGCTGCGGATTGCAGCGTTAGTGGGGCCTGTATAGAAGGGCTTCAGGTTACCCAGGGACTTCAATAATTTCTGGATATACGAGTTGATGTAAGCTGGCACTGGTTCTGGTCATGTTCACGCAGACAGGCGGCCTCCATTACATATGGACTTAAGCCATGCTTTACACAATAGGAATGGATGGGAAGCTTCTAGATTCTGGCTTCAAACGCTAAATCGTGCTGGCGTAGACCTGGAGGAGTTCGGGCAAAAGTCTGGAGAGATGCTCTCACTATATAAATTCTCCAATATTGCCGGCTTGCGAGAATGGACAGCATAAAATACTGGTTTCGACCTTTGCCTACGGCCTTCGTCCAGATGGCTAGACGTTCTAGTTTGTAGACGACAACAGACTGGACTCGAGATGCAGGAGGGGTTTTGGGAGATACCTGAACGTCTCAAACGAGCAATGCCAGGGTGCAGGAAATGACTTCGAGGCGTATTACCTCTAGAATGCTTCCTGAGGGCCACAGAATTCACCTTGTGAATACCTAAAGCAGCCCTATCGAGACTCGAGAGGTCGGATCGAAGAACATGAACTACATCTTAGTTGTCGAAATAGGTACGTCAGCGTACTAGAACCTTAGGTTCTATTCACATTTTACATCTCTAGTATTTCACGTAGAAGTTAGAATACAACCAAGAAGTTACGGTAAACGATATCAACTCAACATTGTTCGTTTAATGTTCACAGCAGTGTTCAGAGTTCACAATCACTAGTTAAGCGCCAGGAACTAACCTCTTTCTTACGCCTTATGTCCTTAAACTGAAGCACGATCATAAGTTCAAAATGTGAAAGAAGAAAATCGACCCTCTAGGTATGGTATTCCACAGATTGCATATCTGCATTATTAAACCGTACACCTGCCCTTCTTACAAGACAGCAAGAAAGAGCGGCACAAGCCTCTCAGCCAAAGTCCAGAAGAAAATATACAAACCTATCCCATCCCTTGTTAAATAAGAGGCAAAATCCACCGAGGTATACTCCATACATGTTAATCGTATTATCGGCAAAAAGAAAGGGAGAAAAGTAGCCAACCAGTTACCAGTCCCTATGATGGTGACACCCAAATGATTTCCCAGAGACACACAAAACACCCTTCGCTATGCAGGTGCAATGACTTATGACCAACGGAAAGTGAGAGGGCAAGTTGGAGGGAATATAAAATGCTGTCGTTGGCTTAGAATCATTCGCCGTCATCCTCGTCGGACTGCCTCTCCAGTTCCGCAAGCATCTGGGCTTCAAGGTCATCGTCGTCTTCGTCCACCTCGGCCTCACCCTTCTCTTGCTCTTCCTCAGGTCCAGTAGTGTCGGGACTCGGCAGTCCAGAGGACTTATCCGCAGTCATGACATTACTTAGACTCGTGACCCGTTCAAAGACGCGTTTCTTCTTGCGCTGCAGTCTCGATCCCGTGCTCTTCACACTGGAATCGCTATCCTCAGCCTCACTATTGCTAGCAGATCCTGTAGAGGCAGTAGCACGTTTCCGCTTCTTTGCGCTCTGTTTCTGAGAGTCCGTCGTCTGAGCGCTATCATCCGACCTGACGCTCTCCGAATCACTGTTGGTATCATTGTTATCGGTATCGTTATCGTTATCATCGTCGGTCTCGTTCATGAAGTCGTCGAACTCGTC